GAAATATAACAAAGAGTGAAAAATTTAAGTGGGTCTGAATACTTTCCGTACCCACTGTATATATATATAGAGAGAGAGAGAGAGAGAGAGATCAAAATTAGAGAGAAACCTAAAATTTCCAGGTCACTGCTTAGTCCTATTTGAACTTATGCAAACATGAGTAGAAGGGCAGTTTTTTTAAGCATATTTCACAAATTAATTGTATTCCGAAGCACAGTATAAAAAACTTAAATGGGATATTTGAAAAAGAACTCAGATCAAAATTAGAGAACAGTTACAGATACCTCCACGTTATTGGTGTTAATCTGGCACCTGTTGCTAATTTCCTTCATTATACGACAAACCCTATTTAACTGGCAGCATTCCTCTAATTTTCACTGTGATTGCAAGATGGTGGGCTTCTCTAAGGTGACTGAAACCCTGCAACAGGAGGTGGTCCAGATGAAGGCCAAAGAGATGATCCTTTCAGTCACTGTAAGAGTAGTTGGCCATTCCAAATCTGTGATTTCTGCAATATTGCAGCTTTACAATAACACTAATTCATTCAAGTCTCCCAAAAAGGCTGGTCGTCCACGTAAGACAATTGCACGAGAAGACAGGATCATGTGGAGACTTTCAGTAGGGAATGGGTTCAACACTGCAGCTGGAATTGCTCGCCAGTTCAGTGCTGAACAGGGTAAGGATCTGTCTTGGCATGTTTAAGGGAAGTCGGACTGAAAGCGCACTCTGCAGTGACCAAGCCTCTCATCAGCAAAAAGAATCAAAAGGCTAGACTCACATTTGCTAAGAAGCATGTTGTGTAGAGAGAGGAGGACTTGCCCAAAGTTCACTTTAGTGAATTTAATTTATTTGGGTCTGATGGGAAGAAGTCAGTAAATGGTGGAGGAGGAAGTGTTATGCTTTGGGGGATGTTTTCTGCCTCTTTTACAGCTACATGGCAGGTGAATGCAAATGTTTATCAGAACCTCCTTCAGCAACATGCAGTTCCTTCCCTGCAAGCATCTCCCAATCAGCCTGCAATTTTCATGCAAGACAATGTCCCCGTCACACTGCAAAACGGGTAAATCAGTTCCTTGAAGCTAATGGCCGGCCCAGACTCCTGATCTAAATCCAGTTAAAAATCACTGGAAAATCCTTGGCAACAAAGTTATGGCTAAGTTGTAGTCTTCTTTCGTGCTACAGTGGTTACTGTTCTCTAATTTTGATCACTGTGTTTTCCACAAAAAAAAAAGTTTTTATTGAAATGCCTTGGTTATTTTGTAAAACATGTTAGCATAACAGTGGTATACCCACAGCTAATATTTCTTCAAATTTTGAGCGATGAAGATTAACAATATTTCAGAAAAAATCAAGTATTTATAGATTGTTCTCTAATTTTAATCTCCACTGTATAATACATAATAATAAATTTATACAGTAAATTACTAATTGCATTTAAAGAGCATTTGCCCATTGAATACTTGCACAACTGTTTCCGAATTTTAGTTATTACAGTTTAGGGGCCAGATTAGCAAAACATTCTTAAGAATAATATTATTTTTTTACTGCTTTTTCCTAACTTCCTTGTATTTCCAAAAGCATTTCTAAAGAAAGTTCTAATCTTTTTTCTTAAGATTATTCTAAAGACAAAACTTAAGAAGATTTTAGAAGTTAGGATAAGCGCCAACTTGTCTTCATTTTCATTAAAAAAGGACATGTAATTTTTTTTCTGAAAAAAATGTAAGGAAAATATTAGGTCTGTCGATTTAAGGCATTAATGGCTCTTGTGGTACTTTGATGTCATATACCGATCAATCTGCGCAGTGCTGCTTCAAGTCGAACACACCTATACATTGGATTCATGACAAACATGATGCAGGGCAACAACTCACTGCATGAAGTAGCCGAAAGAATGCAGTTATATGCCTCTAAAATTCAAGAGATTGGGGCAAAAATGCCCCTGTTTGAGTTTTTGTCTCATATTTATATAATATGATATAGTTAAGCAATATCACAAAAGCAACGAGTGCTGTTTTAGTCCCAAATAGCATGAGTGTAAATGTGATATAGATTTTATATAGCATTTCATTAAATAAGAACTTTATTTAATGAAATAAGAACTCCAAAAACTTGTTTTTGCTCAATTTTGCCAATGCAAATATTACCTACTGTACTGTTCCAAAGTGGAACTGTTGTGTGTCTCCGAGCATCACACAGTGGTGATTCGTGTTTTGAACGAACGGGTGAACCAATGATTCAATGGCCCATTCATAAAGAGCGCCATTTACTTAATTCATAAATGAATCAGCAGTTTGAACGAATCGAATGAGTGAATGACTGACTCAATGACTTATACATTAAGACATTTACCGCCACATACTGGCAGTTTTAGTTTCTTATTTAGAGTATAATTTTATTCAAAAATAATTCCATATTCTCATATTAATAAAAATTCTGAAAAAAAAAAAAAAAAATCCATATTAATAAAAAACTAATTAAAGGGATAGTTCACCCAAAAAAAAAAAAAAATCTTTCTAAATCTACTTTTTGTAATATCTATTTCATGCTTTTCTCATGTCTTTAGATGACCTTTTAGAGGATTTCTCAGCCAAATTTGATGTGCAGTTAACTTTATTAAGTAATTGCCACAAAGTGTAATTAATTAGATTGAAAATTTGAATCAATTGACAGCCCTAGAAAATATATATTTATAGGAACATAAATTAACAGAAATTTGGTTAACACCAAAAAACATAAATAGTATAAGTATAATTACATTATTATATGTAGTATAATTATACAGTATAATTACATTAGTGTAATTCCCAAATTTTCATGTTATTGGTGAGCAGTGGAGTCAGTGTTCTGTTATCTGGGTGAGTGCTGTAGACAAGGCTTGGAAAAGCATTTTTTCTTAGATAATGTGAGGCCTGAGCTTTGGTCAGATAAGGAACAATCCGCTGTGCTCCGGCGTCCTGCGTGCTGATAAGAGACTATCTCTGTCTGACATCCGTTCAGCCACTCTGCATGAGAATCAGAAGCCATCAGAAGGGACAGACAGACAGAGACAAAGACAGAGGTGGCAACATGCGCCTGTGTTCTTGGGGGAAAGGACACTAAAAACAGTTGTCTTTTATGGATATGTACTACCACTAGCATTGTAGTATTATGAAGATCATTCAGCAACCCCAAAGGGCATTTGGACACTTAAAGGGTTAGTTCACCCAAAAATGAAAATTCTGTCATTAATTACTCACCCTCGTGTTGTTCAAAACCCGTAAGACCTTCGTTCATCTTCGAAACAGAATTTAAGATATTTATACATTTAAAAAATATAGTTGGATTAAAAATTTATTTTGTACCATTTTCGGTACCATAGCAAAAACTATTGTGTTTTATTTTAATAGTTTTTAATATAATTTTTTTTATTTAACTAATATGTAATAATAATAATAAGCTATCAATCACTTCAGTTCAACACAAGCTTCCTGACTAACTCCTGCTATATTCAAAAAAGCTTTCTACACTGCACAGTGAATCTCTTATTTATACTTTTTTGGTTATAATGAAATAATTTGCAAGTATGCACAACTCCGATCTCACTGAACAAAAACTATTATTGAGCGGATTGGCTAACTTAAATGCCTCTGTTTGTCATTGTTACATGTGCTCAACAGCAAATACAAAATAGAAACCCTTGACACTCTTCACGGAGCGTGCACACAGATACTGTACGTATAGGAGCGTTTGAAAGCATCTGTCTGTGAAATGGTACTCTGTACTACTGCTACTGCAGAAAAGCTGGTGTGGCTCCATTTTACTGGTGCTTCTGACAACACTATGTTTCTGGGTTTCAGATTTCTCTGAGAAGTCAGAAAATAATGACAGCAGTGCTTTGGGCTTCCAACTCATCACAGGCTCCAGGGTCATTGTCCTTGCCTCCAAAACGTCCCGTGAGTTCTCACACACCAGCACACACATGCCTAACCTATGTCAATGATGCTCTGCAATTTTAAGGTTTCTGAAAAAGATACATTTTCAGACTCCTCCTACAGTGCTCATTTAATCTTCACCAAATTTGATCTTCTTGGATTATTTTATGCAAAACCTGATGTTCTCATATATTCAATAAAAAATAATCTACTTTGACAGTGTCAAACAGGAAGTGAGATTTTATCTTTTAAATGCTCTATTGAGACAAAACTTGGTGTATGTCTTGGTGTGTGTTTTGGTCTTTTTTTGTGTGTCTTTTGTATTAGTTTTTTAGTAATCTTGGAGTATTTGAATTATTATTATTATTATTAGTCAGTTAAGTGCCACTCTTTAAAATTGCTTTAGAAAATGAGTACTTCAGATTTTAGATAAAATATTCTGACTTTATTTCTAAACACTTTTCTAGTTATATTTGATCTAGTTATATAAATCACCTTTCTAGTTATATTTTAATTAGTGCTGGGCAACAATTACATTTTTTAATCACGATTAATTGCCTGATTTTCTGCGATTAATCGCAATTAATTACATTGTTATGAACAAATAATGAATTCAAAAGTAGTGTATTATGCACTTTTTCCATTTAAAAGTACTGCTATATGAACAAAAGTGCAATAACATTTGGTTTGCAAACAGCAAACAGCTGCAAACAGCTGGTTTTTACAGCAGTATTCCATTTACATAGTAGCAGTTAAAATATTTCTTGTAAATCTCAGTTTATAACATTAATGTAATCAAATTAAATATAAAACAAGCTATTTACCACTGCCAGGGCATTAACGCTTTTATAGAAAATATTTTATAGTTTGTTCACAAGTTATGCTTAGAGTCCAGAGCCTCCATCATAACATTATAACAGGCACCTTCCGAGTAGAGACCTGCACTATCGCGGGCCGGGACCCAACGCAGCAGAGTACAGCGCGGGACAACACTTGATGGGCGAGTGCTGGTGCGGGTGGGTAGAGATTCGTGTGCGGGATGCGGGAGAATAAGGGTGTACTCACACTAGGCAATCTTAACTGTGCCCAAGTGCGTCTGACCCCCAAAGCCCGGTTCGTTTGACTAGTGTGATCACTCCGTGCCACGCTCGGTTGGAAGAAGTGGGCCAGAGCGCGGTTCAGTTATATATAGATCAGTGAGTGTGAGCGCTTCTGATACACGCAGAATGATTGCGTGAGCATTTCTGAGCGGCAAAAGTGATAGACCTGTAAAGCAATATATTGTGAAAGGGGCTGTGTGTTACCGCGTCCCCATCGACTCAAAATAATAAACCACAAAGTTAACAAAACGATGCACTCCACTGTGTTGAGCGAGAGCGCTTATTCTCTGCTGTCTTCACGTGCTATCGGAAACTTCCTGTTTCCCACTTATGAAGTCGTGAGCGCTTCATGTGAGCGCTGCTGCAGTCTTAGGCCCACCCCATATGCTCTCATTGGTTGAGACGCGTGATGGCACCCATCCCAAGCCAGTAGCCTACTGATCAACACCCCACCCCTCCTGTGACCCATGGTTTGTCTGTATGTGTATTCAGAGCCAGTGAGCATCGGACTTTCATAATAATAAAAAACTGCATTAACGCGTGATAAAATAATTGTCTGCGTTAATCAATTAATGCATTAACACGACAATAACGCGTTAACTTGCCCAGCCCTAATTTTAATGTTATTCCAAAGAAAAGAAAAGAAAAAAAATCTTTCATCGAATTGTATTAATGTCCTGCGCCTCCAAAGTGGCTTTTCTTTTTGACTGACATCACCAAGCCCAACCACTCCCCTCCAATCAGCTGTCATATAAAGACCACTTTTCTCCATTCACTCTGTTTCTCATGGTTAACATCAAATCCTGCCCTACATTTTCAAGTGGAATATCCTTGTCACTCAAAAATAGATTTTATGAAATGTTCATTTTATGACAGTAACTTGAACTGAACTGACTTGAATGACTTAAAGAAAATGTTTTGAAATCTGCTTCATAAAGACAAGCACATGGTGACAGCAGCAAAGAAAAACTCTCTGTTTGGAGACAAAGAAGGAAAAACAACATGTAGAGTAATCTCAGAAAGAAAACCCATCCTCTATACTTGATTGACAGTTGTTGTAGTTATCTGAAAGTTCTTCAAAGTCTCTTAAGAATGCCAATGCGCCAGTGTATGAACTTGCGGTAAAACTGTCGATATTTGTAAACTGGTGCTGGGAATTTAAGAATCAGGTATATTATTAGGTGAAAGAGCCACCATGGTTGTGTATTTCCACAACAAAGAGGTCAGTCAAATCCTGTAATGAAAGTTTTGTTGTGGTGCCAGTGTTGATCGACATCTTGCTCTCAAACACGCTTCACTAACGCTCGCATCCATCATGCGAGGAAGCCCTGTGATCTGTTTCAGGTTGTCATGAGCTAATTACAGGTGCGGGAGACGGAAGGCTGATAGCACTACTCTGTCTCTCTCTTTATGTGAGTGTGTGTTGACTCTCTGCAGAGCGTTACAGGATCCAGAGCGAGAGCTTTGAGGATATTTGGCTGGTAGTCAAGGAGCTGGTGCAGCGTTTCGACCGGCACTTTGCCTCCCTTGGAGTCAAAGACTTTCGGAACAGCTTCACTGGACCAATTCCACTGCCTGAGTTCTTTGAGAAAGTGGACCACCACTTTGAGGTGCGAAGCTTCTCACACGGTCACACATTCTTAAAAAAGATTCTTGGCTTTCTGTGCATATGGAAGCATAAAGTAACATCCCTAATAAATACTGTATGACATTAAAACATAACCCTCTGAGTAATGTTTTCTCATTTTGTGGGAATATTTGTAGCTCCGTGTGAATGCGCAGAAGTATCAGGATTTGCTGTCGGAGAGAGCAGTTCAGTTCAGGGCCATCCAGCGCCGTCTACTGACCCGCTTTAAAGACAAAACCCCAGGACCACTTCAAAACCTGGACACACTGATGGAGGGAACCTACCGCCAAGTAAGCACAATTAAATGAAGACACACTAGAGATTAAAGGGATAGTTCATCCAAAAAGTTTAATTAGCTCTTTTGCCAACTGGTGGTTGACTTGCTGCTGAAGCTCAGCCAGTTGTTCCTGTGCCAGTGACATCACCTATTTGATGCTCTCTCTCATGTCCCGTACTGTACATATTTGACGAATGAATGATGAGGAGTGGGGTGCTGCTGGACACCTGCCTGATGCCATGTAGCATATAGCGTGAGGTTACACTTGTGCCCGTCCTTGGCCTCCACCCACCATATCATTCACTTCAGTGTTTGAACCTCTCAACCAGACCATCTGTCTGCAGGTCGTAGGTGAGATGTACAGAAAGCACCACAAAAATATTTTTTACACTGAAGACTGGAGTGATGACTGCTGAAAATTCAGCTTTACCATCACATAAATAAATTACATTTGAAAATATATTCAAATAGAAAACACTTATTTTAAATTGTTATAATTAGGGATGCACGATATTGGATTTTTGCCGATATGCCGATAATTTTCAACTCATTTTGGCCGATGCCGATTTTAATTTTGGTTAGTTTTTAAAAAGAACTTATTTGTTCGAATTAAATAAACAATAATAAAGTTATTTTATAATCGCAGTGCATTGAAGATTTGAAAATAACTATAAATAAACATATTAATCACTGCATTTTTTTTTCAGAAAGATGCAGTGGTAACCTTAACATTTTATTTTATGATTTAACATTTGTAAATGGTCTAAAGCAAAAGAGTTGTACAAATTCTGAAAATCTTTTAGAGCTCATAATTTGTTTAAAAATATAACATATTACACATTAATGAATAAATCAGTATATATAAAATTATTTAATTTAAGTGTCATGTTTGTGATTTTATTTTTTGTTCATGCAAGCTATAGCTTCTCACCTTTAAATCAAAACATACTAATGATTATATGGCATCAATTACTGCTTTATTTAATCAGAAACACAGTCTAAATAATATTTGTGTATTTTGCTTTTATTTTATTAGAAGTAGGCCAACAACACCCCCTACGGAATTAAAACTCCTTACTGAGCATGCATTTCAAAACTTTGCTTCAAGAATGAGCCACAATGCTGACGTGATCTAAATCGCATTGTTGATGTGATCTAATTGCTAGCACACCCTGAGCACATGTGAGTTAATATATTCCTCTTATCGGAAGACATATTGGCATAATTTTTCATGTCGGGCCGATGCCGATATTTACATTTAAAGCCATTATCGGCTGATTCCGATATTGGTCCGATAATATCGTGCATCCCTACTTGATACTAGAAGACATTCTGCAGATGCAGAATTGAGAAATATGCAAGTTGTGTCAAAATCTGTCCATAGGGGGCATCAAAACCTGTTACAATTCTGCAACATTTCCGATATTGGTCCTATAATATCGTGCATCCCTAGTTATAATATTTCTCGATATTACCGTTCTTGCTGTATTTTTGATCAGAATGCAGCCTGGGTGAGCATACGACTTCTATCAAAAACATACAAAATCGTATTGACCCCAAACTTTTGAACAATAGTGTACATTCTTAGCAATTAGATTTGTTTATGATTGGCATTAGAACAAGGCACTGAATGTCTGTTACCAAATTCTCTTTTCCGTTTGTGTATCAGCATTGCACGGTTGCTTTAAAAACTTTCAGGATTCAGAGATGAATACACTGTTGAGTTGTTGACATGCTTTTCCAATGACATGTTTTTTGTTACACATCATGTTAATGTCACTCATAACGTAGATGTATCTCCATCATTATACATTAACAGTCTGTGGGTTGTCATCTACCATGTGTTTGATGCTCTGGATGCTTGTGGGCAGATAAGATTTCACTTGCTCATTCCTTCTTAACCCCAGTCTCATTCCTCTGATCATTTATTTGTGTGGATAAATCCCTTTACTTCTAAATTCGGGATCAACAAGAATTCTTGAGGAAAAGAGAGATGTGTTGAGGTCTAGAGAGCACGTCTATGTTTCCCACAACTATTTTTCCTAGTAAGAGAGCTTTAAAAAGGCTTCTGTATGCGTGTGTGTTTCACTGTGAGCTGTGTGGCTCCCTGTAATTAGCAGTTGAATGGTGAAGGTGGCTGGCCAGTGAATGACAGCTCACTGCGGGGCCCCTGCACTCATAATGGAGGCCTCTCTCCAACAGCCTTGATTTATTTGAGCCCAAATGGAGTGCTAAACAGGGCTAAATGCTGCTCAACACTGATCCTCCTCTCTACATGAGCTCTGCCATTAATGGCCAATGGTCTGAGATCTGGAGGCATGAGCTTCCATGTACATGTGTCTGTTTGATGCCAGGTTCAAAAGGGACTCTCAGGTACTGCTTCTGTTTGTGTAACCTATGAAAGGCCTTAGGGAGTTCCTGTTTTTCTTCTCCTGCTCTTTTCCTTTTTTCCCCTCTTCATCAGCACATATACGCCTCATTCATAGTCATGAAGGGCACAGGCACAAAGAAACATTGATGCAGGCAGCTTAGATTAGATCTGATTTCCAAAGCTTTATAGCCCAATTCTTCGGGCCTTAAAACAGTGACTCATAGAACATATCATAATCATGCAATTAAAATTTCTTGATTTATTGTTTTGTTCTGTTTGTTTTAGCAAATTCAGTACAAAAATGTGTTCCAAGTCTAAAGGCCCACTAAGAAGGATAACTATATATTAGTGTCCAAAACAACACAAGATAACGTTCTGTTTATTATAAGCATGCACTGCAGTTATGTCATCTGGTGCTTTAAATGCTCCTTAAAATAGGATTGATTCTGATTGACTGTCAAATGTTTTTATAGCTCAACAACTGGAAAAAAAAAAAATCTGAAAGTGAATCAACCGATATTGTTACACTGTGACATTATTATTATAGTTGTGGTGTGGACATCCCTATTGTATTAGAATTAGTCCTTGGTGTGAACAGGTGTTAATTTGTGGATGGAAGTCTGTATACACAGCCACAAATGCAGTGGTCCCATAGGGGGCGATAGAGTTACCTTCAAATGTCTGTACGTTTACACCATATTTGTTGTTATTCAGGTTGCTAGCTATAACTGGCTGAGCAGTGTGACGATATATATCACATCAATAATAGAAAGTGCCTATTAATAGAGAGTTTGCATTAGTTTGTGTAAAACATGGTATGTAAATATAGTCGCAATGCCTGAATAAGAAAAAAAAGTGCGGGACGTAAAATAGTGCTTAAACCGGGGTGAAAAAATGATGCGGTACTCCCACTTTCTAATGCCCACCTGAAGTGCACGTACATAAGCTGCCTTTATCAAATTTTGGCCATATCACACACCCCTATTTAACTTTAAATTACTAAGCAAGAAACTGCTCTGACATTACAGTAATTGACTAGACTGAATAAGCTGATAATAGAAGAAAACAGTTGTACTAATAATTGTAATAGCACCCCTTGTGGCAAGGCTGAGAATGTGGAGCACACTTTTTTTTTTATTGTGTTCTGACAAATTTACAAATGCAACAATGTGTGAAATCAAGTTTACATAGCTACATGTGATTGCACTCTGACAAAGAACATTCAAGCCATGCATAATGTGTGTAAAATGTTTATTAAGAATTTAGCAGTCTACAAAAAGTCAGGCCTAGTTCAGGCTGTCTTCAGAATACTGTGCTTTCCTTTAAAGGTTCCACACCACACATACAGATGCTTTGCATCTCAGGTGTTTGCCCAAAGGCAGGCAGTCTCAGCAGGGGAGATACTGATAATACATACAGGTGCATTCTCATTTGTGTTTCATTCTGCAAGTAAGCATTTGTTTGTTAGCTATTAATTGCATTGATTCAGAGGTGGACACGACTTTTACTCCATATTTTTCTAGTATTTATACTCTTTTCATGTTGGGGAGCTTTTACATCATTACATTTTATAGCATACTTTTTACTGCACTGCAAGCTACAAAATAAACAATAATGATATATGACCAATTCCTAAAATGGACTTATTATTATTTGTTTGTGAATCAGACTGATCTTGTCCCAGCAGTTCTCGAGTAAACACTGCTGTTGATGCCTTTGGCGCAGATTTTAGCCATGAGTAAATTTGAATTTCAGACTCGTCTCAAATGAGCCAGAAACTAAATGAACAGCATTACATGAGCAGGAGCATGATATGGCTCTATATCAGCACATATTCCATGTGTTCATGTGTGAAAATGTGTGATATCTATATTATTATTATTTTTAGGGCTAAAGCGTTGTGTAAAAATGCATAAAATAGACATAATGGATAACAAAACAACATGTTTGTGTGGATTTTTTTTTAATGCAAATGTCTGTCAGGGTGAGTGAAAAATGAAGGCACTGTTGATCGATACAGAATGTCTAGTAGAATGTCTAAAGTGGACTAGCAAAATAAAGTGTTACCTAGATTGCTTTGTTTACATATCCTATATGCTTGTGCTGTTTGTGATTGTGCTGCACTGTCTTTGATTATGTGACACAAGCATTTCTATGTGCATGTAAGGACAAATAAATGACTGGACCTGACTTCGTTTGATAAGGGCTTTATTGACACCAACAAGTTAACTCAGGAAGAAAATCCAAAAGGAGAAGTGAAAACATTCCAGGAGAGTTCAGCAGGCAGATGCAGACATAACCAGACAGGGTCAAGGTAGGATTGTGGTCAGGCAGAGCAGAGATCGGAGGCACACAAATGATGATCTGAGTAGGTGGAAGCAGAGTCAGGGCAGGTAAAGGTCAGGGACCAGTATAGCTGGCAGACAAGGCAACCAAACCCAGGTGAGGACAGGCTATATCGTGGTCAGTAGTGGACAGTGTTTGGTAGCTGGTAGGGATGGAGGACCAGGTGGACTGAATCAGAAAGGAGCTGACTTGAAGCCCAGTTGAGTCGGCAAAGTAAAAGGAATTGGCAGAAACCAGAAAACCGACAAGAACTAGAATACTGATTGTCAAGAATCAACAGGGGAATAGGGTGAAAA